TCACTAAATAGTTGTAAATGATCCAAATCAATCATTAAATTTGTGAATGTAAAAACTTTAAATAAATGGATGCAGTTTTCAGGAAAGTCATAGAAAAGACCAGAAATGTTCCAAAAACGCATTAAATGGATTAATTTTAGGCAGTAAAAAAAGTCAAAATGTGCCTCAATCTTTTGAAATGAAAACTGTAATATTTTGGTGTCTAAAGCATCCTAAGAAAACCTTTGTGACCTTGTTGTCCTTTTTCAGACTTGCCCAGAATACTAATAAAATAACAGAATAATATTCCATTCTCATTTTTGTAAAACATAAATGTTAATCAGAGTACTGATTTTCATCCTACATACATACACAATACAGAGCGATTATTATTTGGTAATCGATCACTATTTGAATACAAAACATACTAAATGTAAGCTCAATTGTCATTTAGTTATCAGATTATAAGCACCAAGCCAAGAGCCATTTTTCTCTCTTTCTCTGCCCCTCTTGAACCTGCCTCCACTTGTTGACCTCTTTTGTTGCATTTATCCACTCCTCGTAAACGCCTACATTTACACAACCTAGACATAGGCTGCAATCAAAACACACCACTCCCAAAATGGTTTAGTTTAACTAAGAATTGCTAGTTTTACAGCAATGTTAACCAGTTCTATTAATCCGAAGATCTAAATGAATACAATTTAAAGATATCTTATTCTTTGCCCTCATGCTTTACTACATCAAGTCTAAACTTTCAATCCTATCTCTAAAGTCTCTTAACATAATTTATGGGAAAGTTGGCGCAAACGGCTTAAAACTGCAATCCTGCTAGTAACTTTCTGTTCTGATGGAATTAGTTCTGGGGAAAAGTAAATTATAGTAACTAATTGTAAAATGTACCATGTTGAGCCCTCCTTCATTGTTTTTAAATGACCATTATTAGCTACCAGATGTTTTATTTGATTTGTTTGCCATTATTTGAAAGCTGGCTTTTAAATGAAAATGTATTTCAGCTTTAGTCTGACTAGTGTTTTTGTAGGATATGTTTTTTTATAATAATTAAGATTAGAATTACAGCACAGCGGGCAGCCAATTTCTTATATACATCTGTTGAACTGCCACTGGACTCAGCTGAAACAGTCTTCACTACTGTGGTAGGCACCTTCTGTTGAGTTGCCTTCCTTGCTCTGGGAGGGACTCCAGGACCCTTGAAGAAATAAACAAGAGAATAAGTCTTATTCTTGAAATTACACATTTTTTGAGAGCTCAATGCATGACAAATTATGAAAACACAAGAAATGAGGAAAGACTTGTGACAACAACACAACACATACAGTACAGCAGCAATTAGAAAAATGCTGCAAATAAATAAAACACAAAGAAATAAAGAAAAAGCTGTGAATATCGAAATCATTAGCAAAAAAAATAGAAGTTGTGCAGTGTTTCTCTATTTGGTTGTGTGTTCTACATTTGCAACAGATTCCTTTATGTCACAAAGCATTACATGTTTTCTTTCTGTTTGCTTTTGTTTTGTCTGTTTGTGTTTTATTAAGCTGCAGTGTGTTGAGCTCTTTTGACATCCAACAATAATGCAAATTTAAAACAAATATTTCTAGCCATAGGTATCCTGTGGAGTTTATTACCTAGAGCAATGATGTTGCTAATCTCACGTCTGTTCATAGACATGACGACACACATGCTGAATGCAAGGATAACTTGTATTTGTTTATAAATATTTCTTATGTCCAAAAACATACTGACATGAAAAGAGACATCAAGGGAAGAAAAGTTAATTTAATTTTCCTTATTACATCTCTTTCTCTGAATCATCTGTTTTGTCTGCAAAAATTAAAATCATGTAACATCTGAATGTACAAATGCTTTCAGTTATTTTTTTTTTCCACAACTAAACTAGATAACCAAAAGTGGGAGAAGTTGAAGGAAAGGTGGGAAAGAGAAATGAAGAATGACTAGCAACAAAGCTAATACTGTGAGCGTGTTTGAGTGAATAAATTGGTGACTGGTTACTGAGGGTGAGTTTAGATACAGTTTTCATGAATGGGGAATTTAACAAAAGAGACAAAAAAAAGTTTTTGTTTTTTTTCCCAGGCTATAAACATGTTTGTTTCTGCTGTAAAGTAGAACATTTCAATATAGGGCCTTATGAAGATGGACTCATTTCTGTAGCGAGCCTCAAGTGCCTGTTTGAAGAGCTGTTTTTGTTTCTTTTCTGTTTGCTTCATCTTGTGTCGGAGAGCAAAGGCAACTCCTGCGCAACTTGCTTCAGTACGTACAAACTAACTGTAGCTAATAGTTCGTATACGCCTGCAGGCAATATGGAGCATGGGATAGCATGAGGACCTTGTTGAGCTCTGAAGTGAATGAGTTAGTTAATTAGGTAATTACACACAAATAAAAATTATTTGAAAGAAAAGAACAGCTTATATTGTAACAATCAAAGTGTTGATATAACATACTGTTGAGCGTAGTCTCCTCTGGCCATCAATAGGCTGACCCCTGTGTGGTTGGCTAACGTCCCTGAGGGAGCCCTTCAGGAAGAAGCACAAGATTAAAAACAGATGATACTACACTGCATTGATGGTGTCAAATGTAGATCTGCTGCAAACATCAGAAGTGAGTGTGGCTTTTAGTCATAGATATAGTTTACAATTTAAAGTGCAAGTGTTACCATGACAGTGCGTACACATCTGCAGAGGACACGGATCATGGGAAGACCCGAGGACCATGTTGAGCCCTGAAGTAAATGAGTTAGTTAATTAGGTAATTACACACATAAAAATTAACTGTCCACGCAGTCGTGAAAAAAAAGAACACCTTATTTTGTAACAATCTTAGTGTTGTTATAACATACTGTTGGACGTAGTGGGGATAAATATGCTGAGCACAAGAATAGCACAAGAGCACAAGATTAAAAAGAGATGATGCTACACTGCGTTGATGGTGTCAAATTTATATCTGCTGCAAACATCAGAAGTGAGTATAGTTGTATAAACTGTTAAAAATTGAATAAATTGTTAGAGGCTACTGGATGTTTTATGTAGACAACTAGCAATACCTCTCGATAGGACAGCTCAAGGTAGACAGAAAAGGTGGAGACAGAGGATGACACACAGCACAGGGCCACAGTTCAGATTTGAACCCATAGTTGCTGTAGCAAGGATTCTGTTTTGGTATATGGGGTGACTTTTCACTTTAAGGGCTTATCTTTCTTTTTTAGGGCTTTATCTCTCTGTGTCTGTGTGTTGTGGGCTTGTCTCCCTTCCTGGCTCTCAGCTCTGCTCCTCTGTACACCTGTCTGCATCACCACTCCGTCAGCTTACCTGCCTTACATGAGCCTGTCAGTGTGCACTATTTCTACCCCAGTTCTACACACATCCAGTGCCAGATCATTTATTCAGCCTGATTTAACAGAGATTTAAACAAACATGACAAAAATTCACAGCTCTCATCTTGTTTAGAAATGTATTCAAAAGTTTATATGAAGCTAATATAAAGATTAATCAGCCTGAGGAGACCTTTCCTGAAGGTTTCCTATTTGTGGTTCTGGACAGTGCAGATAGTAACAAAAAGAACACATTTTGTTCATAACAAGCTGTAACCTTGGAAGATATCCACCTTAATTGTTTAATCTGGGTGGCTGAAGCCTCATATTAACTTTATATAGGCTACATTTCTGTTTCTGTTTCTGTCCATCACTTAAAGGAGGAATGATGGAATGAATATAGAAAGCAAAACCTGTTTCAATGTTCAATTGAGCATTTGACTATTGTTTTAAGAGAGATTTGAAAAATTGTGAACCTGTCCTTTAATAAGTTCTACCTGTGATGTTGAAAGGTCTCGAATGAGGTCGTCACCGTGTTCTTCTTCTGCTTCTTCTACTTCTTCTACTTCTGAAACAGTCACTTGGGTTGGCCTGTTATCTTCAGTATTCTGTGCAAACAGTGATTGGTTTAGGGTTACATAAACAAAGAGAATTCACACAATGTACAAAATTACAACTAAATAATTTCTATTGAAACATTAATGGAGCAGCTATTATCTTACAATAAAACAATCCAAGGGATCCGTTGGTGATTTGCAAATTGGGGACATACAACCAAGATAACAATCACTGGATAATAATAATATAATCTTAGTTCACCTGCTGAGGTCGGTGCTGAAGACTGGTCCAGTTGACCAGGGCAGAGGTCACATCCAGTTTGTTAATTATGCTTTTGTGGACCTTGTCAAAAAACGTAAGACAGCTGTCCAAGGTTTTCACTTGGTCTTCAAAAGGGTCCTTCTTGAATACTAGTGTTCTATTCAAGCTCCTCCACTTCATCAAATCAAAGTCAAAGTCTTCAAGTTGTGATGGGATGTGAGGACAAGACGTGGAACGCAATCCTTCTCTTACCTGTATCAGGAAGCAAAAGAGAAGCAATGTCATGAATAAAAGGAGCAGAATTAGGTGGCCTCTTTTTTGTTTTATTATGAATGGCATCCACTGTGCATCGTTGTCTTGTTTTATTGTTGTGTTCATTTTAGTTTGATAAATCAACTTGTTTTAAACAAATCTATTGTGTGGACTCCCCACTTGTCCCATTCCCTGAGCTAGTTTGTGACATGCACACACAAATCTCTTCAAAATCAGAAAACACTTCATGCCTGCTGCGTTTTCTAAATTTTTAATCTATTACATAATTAAACGTCTACTTCAGTAAGTCCACATAAGTTTTGTCTGTTCACTTTCAGTTTAATAAATTTGTGTAGCAACCACACAAAAGCAGGAATATATAGGGGTCCAAATACTAACACAGTGGCAGTCCTGTGGTTGAATCCTGGGCCCAATAAGTCATTAATAAGTAAATCAATAAGTTATTTTTTTCCCTGTCCTGTCAAGTGGGTTATTATGCAGGAAGGCTCAGATAGACTCCTGATGTCAACTCACTAGATTCTTGGCTCATACATTTACTGAGGAGGAGAATGAGTACAGCCTTTTAATTAAAAGAAGAAACATGTTTATTTGAATCATTTATTTTTAGAATAGCTCACATGCTACACGAGTTGGATTCTCTATAAAAGGTTGCATCCAGTCCACCAACACAGCATAGTTCCTTACATTAGCTCCAGTGGTGATGGCTATTGATTGTGTCAGCCGGGTTTATCTATACAGCATCTTACACCAAACCTAACAATAAGACATCCAACACAGACAGCAGATATCTGGTTACACTGAAAGGTTTGATGAAAACACAGAATCTGCTGGTGAGAGACATTTCAGAGTTCTTGGATGTGATCCTACAGAGCAGATCTGCAATTAAATAAAAAGGCACAAATAAAAGAGTAAAAGGAACGTTTAGGGAACCCCTTTACCCTGACCACACCCAATACTGTACTTCCTCAGATGATCTCAAAAGGTTTCAGTAAGATCTGCAAGATTATACAAGTTCAAATGCATGACCTTCAAAAGATTTCAAAATAAAACTCCACTGATTTCATTACCCCTCCACCACAGCACTATCACACATAGGACACATAGGAAGAGGCATGTAAACACATAAACTGATTTCCCCTTCAAAACCAGTTCTCCAGCCTCAGTTTAACTAATTATTTCTATCATGTGCTCATCGTGTGTCTGCAGTGCCTGTACACATTTATGATACCAGTCAAACATGTTGTCTGTTCGGGCCAGTTCAGTACAGTAAAATACAGTATAATGCTGTATGTGCAAAGTAAACTCAACACAGCTGTAGTTCTTTGCCATGAAACCTTTCGTCAGGCCACACAAATACACAAGTGCATGCATGGATCGATTTTAAGTCTTAAATCTGTAAGTTAGTGACAGCTGAACTAAAACATTCATAACCACTACGTGTGTGTGTGTGTGTGTGTGTGTGTACTGAAAAACATTAAGTATAATACATGTTTGAGTTCTGTTATATATATTTCTCAATTTTTTAAAAAAAGTGTCATTTCTTCATGTCATTTTAAGACAAGATGCACCATTTATATACATTTACTTTACAACTGCAGTTTTATGGAGTTATGTAATTAAAAAAAAAAAAACAGAGGGAGACATTTTGTGTGAACAACTCTGCTGCAGGAAGTGCTGCTTCACATCTCTCTGGATTTTCTCTTCCATTTTTCTGTCTCTGCGTTTGTTTCAGTTCTGCCATCCTTTGTCACCCGTCTGTCGGAAGCAGAAAGTCACCTACTGACCAACAAGCCGCCTCCATGATAGCGACTGCTCACAGTATTTTCATCACTGCTAACACTTCTTTCTGGTCCTTTGTTTGTGGAATGTCAACCCTCCATCCACTGTTCTGGGTCTGTTGTCCAGGTTCCTCCCTCTCCATCCCCGCCCTTAAATCTTTCTTTGCTTCCCCTTCAGTCCAGCTTGCGTGCGCCGAGTTTGAGAGGGCCCTTAGCAGCTTTGCGCTCTGCCCGTTTCGCCTCCAGCTCTTTCCTCCTCTCCTCCCGTTTCTTCTTGGAAAGCTCGGCCTTGCTGAGACCTGGAAAGCAATGAAGACAGGCAGTTCAATGCATACAGGCATACAGGCAGATAGTTAATGGTGTAGATGAACACAAGAATACTTCATTAGTGTGAATACAGAAGTTCAAGTGAAGGTTTTGGGACATAGAAATGTTCCAGTGAACTCACACAGATGTTTTATTACTATTTATTTAATTATATAGTAAGTGTAAATGAAACAGGTACCATCTGTTTGCAGCTCATTTAGGGAAAATTAATGTTCATATTTTTGATACGGGGAGCCAGCCGAGACTTACCCTGGTTCCCATCCACCGACTCCCAGCTCTCCTCAGCTCCCCAGTCTCCTGTTACCTCGGCACTCCAACTATCTCCAGCCTGACGGGGAGAAGACACAAGAAAATATGAATGAACTGAAATGCTTTTTTTAAAATATATATTCATGACCTTTTTTACCTAGACAACTTGTGTGAAGAAAGAATACATTTTTTTTTAACCTAATTTACAGAAATAGTTAGAAATAGATATTTATCAACACCACTCTCATGTCTACACTTAATATAAAGCTAGAGCCAGCAAATCAATATACCTTTTTAACACCAACATTAGTGCGTATATGCAGGTTTTTAATATGCAGGTAAATCTGCTAAAAATAAGCGACTGACTCCTTTCCATTGCCAGTTCGCCTGTGGGGGTTTCTTCTTCCTGATGTGTCATGTTCGATGTCACTAACAGTAGTCTTGCATAGCCAGACCCATCTCTCATATCTAATCAATACTAATTCAATCTGTTGCCCTTCTGTCTTTTTGCCTCCCTCTGTCCTCACCGTGGTGGCAGCAGTGCTGGCTGTGTTTCTCTGGGACACGCTGGCGAACAGATCATTCTGACCGGTCCCTATGGCTGCGTTGCTGCTGTCCCAGTTGTAGTCGCTGGCTAACCGCACCCCTTCGGGCAGGGGAAGCGTTGAATTGGTCAAGGTTGTGTCCGTGTCCTCCTCCCCCCAGTCGTTGCCCCAGCCTTCCTCGCCCGCAGAGCTCTGTCCCTGCCCTTCCTTCTCGTTGGACCAGCTGTCATCGGCGTCCCAGCCTGAGCTGCTCCAGTCGGAGCTCTGCTTTTTCACCGCCGTGGAGGACGACGACCGGCCCACCTAGATATTAGAGAGATGATAAAAGAATGAAATGGAGACTAAGTGAAATAATATAAACAGCAAAAATGTCCTATATATATATATATATATATATATATATATATATATAGGACATTTTTGCTGTATATATATATATATATATATATATATATATATATATATATA